ACTAACAGATCTGTCCTGGAAGAAGTGCACCCGAAATGCTCCTTGGAAGCGAGAATGGCCAGACTTCGTCTCACCTACTTTGGTCATATTGTCAGAAGGGACCATTCCTTGGAGAAGGATGTCATGCTTGGTAGGGTGGAGGGTCAACAAAAGAGGGGGAAGCCTTCAACAAGATGGATTGACACGGTGGCTGCGATGATGGGCTAAAGTATAGCAGGGATCGTGGAGCGGTGTGGGATTGGGCAGTGTTTCATTCTGCTGTTCATGGGGTCGCTATGAGTCGGAAGGGACTCGACGGCACCTAACGACAACAGCAATGTCCTTCCTTGTCGTGTTTGGTGGTTTTTGTCTTAAAGTCAATTTTATCAGAAATTACTATTGCCACTCCTGCTCTTTTTTGGTTGCCATTTGCTTGATATATCTTTTTCTAACCTTTGATTTTTAATCTATTTTTGTCTTTCTCTCTAAGGTGTGTCTCTTGTAGACAGCAAATCGATGGGCTATATTTTCTTATCCAGTCTGCAACTCTCCATCTCTTGAGTGGTGCATTTTATCTATTGACATATCAATAAGTATGAATTGTTGCTGCCATTTTGTTATGTGCTTTTTCATGGTGCTCCTGATTTCTTTGTTCCATATAATTTTTTGTACTGAGCTCGTTTTGTTTATGGATCGTGTTATCATCTCCTTCATTGCTATTGTTTTAGTATTTGCTAGCTATTTGTGCTGGTCCTCTTTTTTATTTTGATGTGAAGGTTTATCATTTTTCTTTGAGGTTACCCTGTGATCTATAATTTTCTTCCCAAGTTTAGAACAGTCCATTCTATCTTATAGTTGTGTTGACTTCCCTACCATCTAGAAGTTCTGTAACGACACAGTTTTTTCCTCCCTTTTGGCTTGTAGGTATCCTCATTTGTCAATTGATGACTCTGGTTCCCTGTTTACAATGTTGGAGGCTTATTCACTTTGGATACTTCCATAGATGGGTTGGTTTCTAGGTTATATCATCATGTGTGTTAATGGTCAGTTGTTGTTGGCTGTTGTTGCTTCTGTGTCCAAAAGACTCCCTTTAGCATCTCTTGTAAGGTTGGTCTGGTTTTAGCAAATTCCCTTAATTTCTGCTTATCTGGAAATGTCCTAATTTTACCATCATATTTAAGGGACAGTTTGGCTGGGTATATAATTCTTGGTTGGAATTTTTTTTCTTTCAGGGTTTTATGTATACCATATCATTGCCTTCTTGCCTGTATGGTTTCTCCTGAGAAATCCAAGCTTAGTCTTATTGGTTGCCCCTTGTAGGTAACTTTTTGTTTTTCCCGTACTGCTTTCAGGATTATTTCTTTGTCTTTGGTTTTGGTGAGTTTGATGATGATATGTCTTGGTGTTTTTCTTTTGGGGTCTATCCTGTTTGGGGTTCATTGGACTTCTTGAATGGATATATTCTTATCTTTCATCAGAGCAGGGAAATTCTCTTCCAACAAATCCTTGACAATTTTCTCTGTGGTTTTATTTGTCTCTTCTTGTTCTGGAATTCTAATTACATTCAGTTATTCCTTTTGATTATATCCCACATGAATCTTAGGCTTTCTTCATTTTGTTTTGATATTTTTCTGATTGACCCCCTTTCAAAGAAGTATTGAAGTATTTGTCTTCAATCCAACTCATTCTATCTTCCATTGATTCAATTCTACTTCTTTGTCCATTCAATGTGTTATCCATCTCTGAAAATTTAGTATTAATCTTCTGGATTTCTATCTGTAGATTTTGTATCATTTCTAATTTTTCATTTGTCATTTTGTTCTTGCATTGTCTTTTGAAATTGTTCTAGGGTTTTCTCTAAGTTTTCCTCCATTTTGTCAATGTTTTCCTTTATCTGTCTCTCAATTCATCTAATGTATCTGAATATAATTCTTTTGAATTCCTCATCAGGGAGTTCCAATGCTGCTTCTTCCTCATGGATGTGTTCTGGGTCTGTATCCTGGTCCCTAGTTTCTCCTGCTTTATTTTACTTCTTTGTGTGGACTGTGATGCTCTGTTGTCTCCAAGACATTGTGACTTTTTGTGTTTATATTTAGTTCATGATTATATGTTAGAGTGAGTTGCCCATGATTTTCATTTTCTTTGGATGTTATCTACATAAGCTGGGTACTGTGCTCCACTATTCTCTAGCTGGCAGCACTTATGCACTCACTACCTGTCTCCTTTCCCATTGTCAGTCTCTCATATGTCCCTGCTGTCCTTGGCAAACAGAGCCTATTCTTATGTCCCTGGAATCTGAATGAGAATGCTATCATTTTAAGTATGCAAAATGGCCACCACTTGTAAACAACCAAAATGGCTGTACCCTCCAGACAGTTGACACATCACAGCTCAGGTTGTCTCCCTGTTTTCTGTTTCTTTTCCTAGTCATTGGCCATCAGAGCAGTTGTCCCTGGAGCCCTTGGTGACCAGGGCTGATCTTTACGTCAATTCTCAGGTCCCAACACCACTTGGAAATATTCAGGCTGTTGGTACCATCAGAGTAGCTGACAGTCCACAGCTCCATCCATCTCCATACTCACTGATTTCATTCAGGTTTTTCCACTGGTTGGTACCTAATCCAACTAGTATACTTCCTTTCAAAGCTCAGGTCTCCAGGATTATCTTCTATATCTCTGTCAATTGGTTTCTCTTTTCTTTGTTGAAGAGTGTCTGTGTAGCTTGTCTACCTATTCAGCCATCTTACCAGGAGTCCTCCAAAAGGAGGCTATTCTTATAATAAATATCACTACCTCAAGTTTATAAGAAGAACAAACAAGGCAATGAGACCTATTAGAAAGTACTTGTAGTCTCAAAGTTAGAGAATTTTACATCCTTGATGACTTAGAGAAAGATTAATTAGTGCCAGTGGGTCAGGGCTCGTTTCAAGAGCTATAAATGAGCAGATATGGCCATATGAAGCTAAGTAGGCTTATCTGCAATTATATACTCTCCTAAATGAGAGCTGTTCATGCTTCCTAACCCAAATTATTTCATGTATCTGTAAACAATCTGAACTGGCTTCTGATCCCAGCAATGAGGAAGAGGAGGAAGAAGATTAAAAAGAGTTGTCCAGCCTTAACAGTCATTAAAAAGTAGAATGTAGAAGTAATCAAGGATGCAGGGTTAATCTAAAGACAGGTAGTTAGGAAACGCTGAACTATTCTATGTATCATTCCATTCTTTACACAAGGGTTCCCCAACCAATTTATCTATAAGAACAAGGTCTATATTAAAACCCAATTTAGTCACCAAAGAGGTATTAAGATGGGAGAAAAATGGGTCAAATTTTTCCATAAAGTTTTCTTTTATGGTGTAGGTATCAAATGTAGACAACCAAATACTGCTTTACTTCAGACATGGTTACATAATGTTTGTTCTCTATCAACCAATTAATTCACTTTGCTTGTCAACCATATCAATATGACATTTCATGGGGCAATGAAGAATATGAAATATGAAAATTCATCTTTGTTGGGAAGATGGAATTTTATGGAAGATAAGTGTAGCACTGATGAAATGTATTAATCATCTTTGTTTAAGGAACAAATATAGGTTTAACAAAAGAAGAAGTTGAAAGTTTAGAACAAGTTTCCATATACTACAATTTCCTGAGCAGTTTTAAGCAACAAGATCTCACTCTCCATTAATTATACAGCTCATTGAGGGAAAGTGTATTGACTTGTGGCTATTTCCATCATCTATTGATTTATCTTATAAATCTGTCTTATACCATGATCCCAATCTGATGGTCTTGGTACTGATTCTGTTATAAAAAGTTCCTCTCCATTCACAAGTGAGTACTTACCAAAAGCTTACAACACAAGTAGGGGCTTTTTTTTTTTTTTTTTTTTTGTCATTGTGAATCAAATAAATTCCTTGTGCTCTTAAATAAACTCCATAGTTTTCAAGACAGCAAGACAGCTGCTTGAGTCAAATCTGGAAGTGCTCTTCTATTTTGGGGAATGCTTAAGTCATACATACATATGTATAAAAGAAAATTGGAAATGGCATCAGAATACATGTACCACATCTTTGTTGATACTGCTTTAAGTCTCTTGCAAGCTAATAGGACCTGTGCAATTCTGGAGGCTATTAAGTAAAAATAATTATCTGCATGTGGTATGGAAACTATCCTCAGATGAACAATACTGTTTACTTAGTTCTATCCCTCAACAGAAAACATCCAACAAGGACAATGTTATCTATGTTTTTTTAATTATAATAAAAATAGAACAATATATACGAAATGGAAAAAGATATCCAGAAATGATGATGAAAATATTTTGGAACAGAAATTACTAAATTTATCAGGAGGACTTACCCAGGTGCCACTAAAACACATTTTCAACTTACAAATGGTTACTAGTATGAATTAAATTTAGTAACTGAGTCCCAGTTCACTACTAAAAGTTATAAAAATATTTTCAAAATTTTACATAAAAACTGACAATATCCATAAATATTACATTAACATGAAACAGAAATTATATAAGAAAAAAAATAATAAATGTATCCTGAGATAAAATACAAATCACACTTGTCATGCCAGATATACATTTCCTTACCCCTCACATACAATTGTGAGGATTTGGTATTTTCCACATTACAAAATAGAGTAATGATAATACATGTTGATGCATATTTCAGCCATAAAAAATAAACTACTTCATATCTTAAATATTCCTATGATGAATATTAGGATTCCAGATTCACTAATAAAAACTTAATGAAGATGAAACTTGCATTTGGTTTTGACTCTTGAAATCATGGCTGAAAACTCTTAGCAAAGCATTTTAGGCTTTTTTTCTCACACCAACTGACTCACAATATCTTTTAAGAAATGTTTATTTTCTGTGCATATTTTTTAAAAATTATAAATTCCTGAGCACTTTTTCTTCTTCTTCCTCATCACTGTCAGTGACATTGACTTGCTGGATGCTAGAGGGAGTTGATGTCGGGGCTGTGAAGACATTCTCCAAGGCTCCAATGTCTAGTGAAGGCATGGGATTTAAGTATTCTTCCCCACTGTGGCTATGACTGTTATAGTAAGTGGTCCCATCCATGCTCTCACAACTCCGAGAGTCTTCGCTGTGTGTGCGTTCGTCTGGGTAGTCTCTAAAGGGATAGTCTCTATTTAAAGCTGAAAACATAGCCTCATGTTTTTGGTACCTGTCTTCATAATAACCAAGGCATTCTGGCATTGAACTTGGAAAATTCCCATAGCCAAAGGGAGGTCGACTATAAGGGCATGTGCTGCAGCAGAAAGAAATAAAAAAGAAATTAGATTATACCTTGCCCACATACCTTGCATACAGACTAACTGAGCAAGTTAACTGCATCCCCTTTGAAGCCTGGAAAGTTCCCAAGATCGTTTCTGTAACCACTTCATGTATTTTCCCACTCCCCACCCAAACTAACGTGGCAAAGTAAGCTTGTGACTGAAACACTCAAGGGCACTCTTATCTATTAGCAGCCTCTGGCTTCTTACCATTTGACAGCCTTGATAAAGAGAAATTGATAATCTTGACCTTTCTCTAATGATACCTCACAGGTTTTGGAAATGCAGGCAAGTGTTCTAATATGCTAAGAATCGGCACTGAGGATAAATGCAGTAATTGTTCTTGCTGGCATTTGAAAAGAAGCTCATGGAGTAAAATGCATAAATGAGTTGAAATCAAGAGCTCCTAAATATTGGGGTAGGGGGATGCTCGAACAGAGATGACAACTTAATTTTTTAATTGGTATTCAATGATAAAGTACGTTAAAAACACTCTTAGCATCAGAAAGATTAAAACTGATTGATATCAGACTAGTGTTAAGGATCATTTACCAATTTTATTTTAAATGGCAGGAATTTGAAGAATTAAAGATAATTTTGCTGTCTTACAAACTCAGAAATCCATTGCCATTGAGTTGATTCTGATTCAAAATGACCCTATAGGACAGAGAACTGCCCCTTAGGGTTTCCAAGTCTGTATCTTTATGGAAGCAGACTGCTACATCTTTCTCTCCTGGAGTGGCTGGTGGGTTTGAACTGCAGACCTTTTGGTTGGCTGCCAAGCACTTAATCAGGGATCCTATAGATAACATAGCATATGCCATATATACATTTTTCATGTATACAGTTAATTGGTATCAATCATGTTGTACAACCATTACTATCCTTTCCAAATTCAGGCATTTTTCATTTAATTTATGTGTCCTGAATACATTGTGCTTCCAGCTCCTGTGACTTTGCTGACATAACACCCCCCACCTGACCACTGTGTCTCCCTATCCATTGAATTCCACAGATCTTTCAAGGAGAATGCTTAAATCTAACTCATCCATACGTCAACTAGGATTCCCTCAGAAACTAATTTTTCAGGACTCAATGCATTCAATATACTGTGCAAGACTTAGTGAAGAATTAAAAAAAAAAAAAAGACTTGAATTATAAGAATATACTAGACCTGTGCTAAAATCTATAGTGCCAGGATCATAGGGTCATATGGGTGTTGCAAAGACAAGTTAGTATTATGTCCAGAGAACAAAAGGATCAGTTAAAACAAGGGTGATCATAGAAGGTTATGTAGATGAAAATGAATAACTGTAGAAGCAATATGGTATAGTGGGAATAGCATAAATTAGAACTATAACAATAATAGTATTAGCCAACATGTAATTATCATTTATTTAATTAAATTAAATAATTTATTATTATTTCTAGAAGGAGCTCTGGTGGCGTGGGACCTAATGCATTTGACTGCTAACCAGAAGGCTGGTGGTTCAAACCCACCAGCCACTCCTCAGAAAGAAGGTTGGGCAATCTACTGCTGTAGTGATACTTCTTCAGAAACCCAAGGAGGGGTTGCTATAAGTCAAATCTGACTCCATGGCAGTGGTTGTGTTTTTGTTTTTTTATGCTTTCTAGAAAGGAGCTCTGGTAGTACAGTGCCTGCGGCATCAGACTGCTAACCAAAAGATTGGTGGTACAAACCTACCAGCCACTCCATGGAGGCAAGACTGGGTAAGCTACTTCCATAAAGATTTACTGCCTTGGAAACCCAATGGGAATTGCTATGAGTCGGAATTGACTCAATGGCAGTGGGTTTGGTGTTTGGGTTATATTTTCTAGAAGAAGCTCTCGTGGTGTAGTGGGTAAGACATTTGGCTGCTAACCAGAAAGTCAGTGGTTCAAACCCATCAGCTGCTCTGCAAAAGGAAGACAAGGCAGTCAATCTATTTCCATAAAGATTTACAGCCTTGGAAACTCAATGGGGGTTGCTATGAGTCAGAATCGACTCAATGGCAGTGGCTTTTTGTTGGGTTTATTTAGTTAGTTAGTTTATGCTCTCTAGGCATTGGGCTAAGGAGTTTATATGTTATGTCAATTATTTCTAGATACTATAAATATCTCCACTTTATAGATGAGGGAACCAAAACCAAAACCACACTCACTGCCGTCGAGTCGGATCCTGTCTAGTCGGATCCCGTCGAGTCGGATCTGACTCATAGCGACTCCTCCTTGGGTTTCTAAGGCAGTATCACTACGGAAGTAAATTGCCCAACCTTCCTTCCAGGGAGTGGCTGGCGGGTTTGAACTGCCAGCCTTCTGGTTAGCAGTCAAATGTCTTAGGCATTACACCACCATAGCTGCTAGATGAAGGAACAGAGCCTTAAAAAGGTTAAGTAACTTGCTCAAAGTCATCTATAACTAGTAAGCTGTAGAATAAGATCAGGCAATCCAACTCCAGAACTCATTCTCCTAACTATCATGCCATACTATCTGGGCACTAGTTCCAAATGCACCAATTACAAACCTGGTAAATTTAAATAAAACTTATCTGGACCTTCAGTCCTTCTTATATAAAATGGGAATAATATTTCCTCTTCTGCCAACTACACAGGTCTGTCATAAAAAATTCAAGAAAGGATATATGAGTACTTTGAGAACTAAAAGCACTATTCCAATGTAAGTGTTATAAGGAGTTCCATTTTAAATGAAGTATTCATAAATACACACATATATGTACATTTTGCTTTTATTTTCTAAAAGAATGAATGCAAAGACAGAAAATATCTAATAAAGATGCCTAGATATATGAGGAGATAATGAAGCAGGAAGGAGACAGATATAGAAGCTATCTCTCTGAACATATTTTGTATTATGATTTTGACTTTGAAATCATGCAAATATTTTACATCATTTTAAAACTAATTTAGGAGCTCTGGTAGCATAGTGCCTAAGGCACTTGACTGCTAACCAGAAGGCTGGCGGTTCAAACCCACCAGCCACTCCTCGGAAGGAAGGTTGGGCATTCCTACTTCCATAGTGATACTGCCTCGGAAACCCAAGGAGGGGTCGCTATGAGTCAGGGCTGACTCGATGGCAAATAACAACAACAACAGCAAAACTAATTTAATTTTTAAAAAAATCCCTAGTAACTGAAAGCAAATGTAAACAGTTGAATCTAAGCTTAAAAAGACATGAACAGAAGATTTCAAAGGATGGCTTGAGAAGACAAGGTAAAGTATATAACATAATATGCAAAGACCTATAGTTAGAAACCAGAAAGAAGGTTGGGCAATCTACTTCCGTAGTTATACCGCCTCAGAAACCCAACGAGGGGTCACTATGAGATGGGTCCAACTCCACGGCACATAACAACAACATAGTTAGAAACAGGAGCTCTGGTAGCACAATGCCTATGGCATTTTACTGCTAACCAGAAGGTTGGTGGTTCAAACCCACCAGCTACTCCATGGGAGAAAGATGAGGCAATTTACTTTTGTAAAGATTTACTGCCTTGGAAACACAATGGGGGTCATTATGAGTTGGAAACGACTTGATGGCAGTGAGTTTGGTTTTCCGATTTGGAGTTAGAAAACAAATAGGCAAGAACATTCTTGGCATTTCTCAAGCTGAAAGAACTAAAGAAAAAATTCAAGCTTTGAGTTGCAATATTGAAGGATTTTATGGGCAAAATATTAAAAAATGTAGGAAGCATCAAAAGAAGATGGAAGGAATACACAGAGTCACTGTATTCAGAATAATTGTCAATGTTCAACCATTTCAGGAAGTAGTGTATGATCAATAATCTGTAGTACTGAAAGAAAAAGTACAAGCTGCATGGGAAGCATTGGTGAAAAACAAGACATCAGGAACTGAGGTAATACCGATTTAGATGTTTCAACAAATGGATGCAACACTGGTCATTTGTCTATGCCGTGATGACCAAAAGAAGAGGTGATCCAATAGAATGTGGAAATTATCAAGCAATCTCACTAATAAAAAGTAAAATTTTGCTGAAGATAACTCAAAAATGGTTGCAGCAGTACACCAATAGGGAACTGCAAGAAATTCAAGCTGGATTCAGAAGAGGATGTAGAAAGAGGGACATGACTGCTGATATCAGATGGATCTTGGCTGAAAGCAAAGAATACCAGAAAGATGTTACCTGTGTTTTATTAACTGTAAAAAAGCATTTTACTGTGGCGGTGGTGTTGTTAGGTGCCGTCGTCTCTGACTCATAGCAACTCTATGCACAACTCTATGAAAAACTGACTGGTCCTGTACTAGCCTCACAATCCTTGCTATACCTGAGCCCATCGCTGCACCCACTGTTTCTATCCATCTTGTTAAGGGTCTTCCCCTCATGATATACTTCTCCAGGGAATAGTTCCTTCTGACAACATGACCAAATTAGGTGAGATTAAATCTGGCCATTCTTGTTTCCAAGGAGATTCTGGCTGCACTTCCTCTAGGACAGATTTGTTAGTCCTTTTAGCAGACCATGGTACTCTTAGCATTATTCGCCAGCACCACAACTCAAAACCATCAACTCTTCTTCTATCTTCCTTATTCATTGCCCAGCTCTCACATGCATAAGAGGCAACTGAAAACACCATGGCTTGGGTTAGGCACACCTTGGTCTTCAAGGAGACATCTTTGCTCACCATCACTTGAAAGAGATTTGCCCAATGCAATACATCATCTGATGTCTTGACTGCTGCTTTCATTGGTGTTGATTGTAGAACCAAGTAATATGAATTCCTTGACAACTTCAATCTTTTCTTCATCCACCGTGAAGCTGTTTATTGGACCAGTTGTCACGATTTGTGTTTTCTTTATATTGAGGTATAATCCATACTGCAGACTGTAGTCTTCAATCTTCATCAGTAGGTGCTTCAAGTCATCCTCACTTTCAGCAAGCAAAGTTGTGTCATCAGGTTACCAGAGCTTGTTAACGAGTCTGCCTCCAATCCTGATG